TGTAGTCTGAGTAGACTGGCATCTTGGTGGACCTGAATTCCGTCGTCCAAGTAGAAGGCATTGCGTAGACCTCGATGATGAAGGTATGCGACTATAGGCTTGGTTATTCGTGTGAATAACCACGGGGCAGAAGATATTCCAAACGGTAGGACGTTCCATTGGTAGTGCTGCCCTCTGAACAGGAATCGTAGATACTTTCTTGATCCTTGATGTATCAGGATGTGCAGGTAAGCATCCTGCAAGTCTATGCTGGCCATGTAATCTGCTGGACAGACGAGTTGTTTCAGTTGAGGTAGGTGGATCATGCTGAACCTCTCTGGTTTCAGTAAGTAGTCTCTGTTGAATTTGTGCATGTTAGTGCTTCATACAAGTTATGCTTTTGTTGTGACAGTCTTTAGGATATATATGTAAATATATGATAATTATTTCTAGAATCAGCTTGAAAAGCAAAAGAATCATCAGGTCAGTCTGTTCGCCCAGTGAAAAAATAGAAATTCATCATTCTGGTAAATACGTTCCCTAAAATGCTCATTAATGAAATACCACAATATTGTAGTCTGGGTCACTTCTGCCTCCTTTTATATGGCGACAATTTATGATAGAACACACCATTGTCTCGTAGCTAATAAATACATTTAAAAGTAAAGGCATAACTTCAAACCTGGAACACTTCAACGTTTCAATAATTATATCATCTGGGCCTGATGCTTTTCCCTTTATGAGGTGATCCGTCGCATCAAATATTTCGCTTTCAACAATGAGGGATTCTGATACAAGTTCTGTATGCCATCAATTTCTGCATTGCGTATCGTGCCAATTTGAAAACTCTTAACAGGACTAAATCACTGAGATTTAGTTTTCTATCTTTAGCATGAGACCGATTTTTGTAGTTCTAAGTCTTTATTGTGCCTAAAGATTTCAAATTCATTCTAAATACTAACAATTACAAGTTGAACTGTAACAACGTCTGTCTATCATCCCTTCAACCACCTGTTAATCCTTCCAGTAACATGTCTTCATGACTATGTGTTGTTCTTATACTCCCCTACCTCATCCAATAATGTGCTACTTGTTTTAAGTTACCTGTTGTTGTTGTTGTTATTATTATTGATAATCTGCTGTCTGTCACCACATACCCCTTTTTGGGGCTAAAATCGAAAATAATAACAAAAAATACAACACAAGAACCCATGCATATGCAAAATACGCATTATGTCGGGAAGCGTACCTGACATCTCCAAATCATCATCTTGATTTTAGCCATATTTAGGGGCCGTGTATAATTCATGGCTATTGGGGGTGATGATGTTTTTAAGGGAGGAGTTGGGTAAACAATTTTGTGCACATGTATCGGGGGGTCAGCAATTTTGTACATAAAAATATTAAAAAAAGATTCTGACATGAGGGGGGTCACTTACTTTAAACATAAATTTTAAGGGATTCACATTGTACTCGTGCATGCTTCTCCATAACAATCACCATGACCCCCACCCCCAAGCCATAGATTATGAACGGTCCCTTAGCTTGATAAGAGTGTAAGAACCTGCACCAAAACGTCGCTTAATGAAATAAACAAGTTGTTATCTGCGTTACTGACTCACCAACTTTTAGAATATCGGTCAAACAATTACAACGAGCTCTGTGTTCCACTGTGCTGTCATCCTAAAACAAAACGACGTCCATGTCCTCGCGGAAATGGCAACACGTGAGCCTCGAGGATATTCCATTTGTAACAATATGAAACCTACGTTCAGTCGGGGTGTTTTCACTGTACATTTCGAATTATACTCCGACCATGTTCACGTGCACATCATGAAAAACGCTTGCTTGAAATTTGGTTCTTGCACGAAATTCACAAAACATTGTTGCTAGAATATAATCAGTTTCAGAATCCATATACAATGATAGAAAGTGGTTCCCAAATACATATGGCCCTAAATGGACTTTTATGGTATAGACATCGGTTGATAACGATGGTTCAACGCAAACTATCCCAAGGGAAGTCACTCTATATCAAGACCACTAGCATGGCGCGAGTACCCAATCAAACAGCGATTCACGATAATGAAATATATAGTTCCAATTACACAATACACTGATACAAATTAATATATCTATACCATAACTATATAGTTTCACCAACATGCTTGTTGTCAGGGAACACTTGAATTATTTCGTGACTTAGTTGACGTAGTCGGTCAGTGTCACATTGGGAATGAATGTTTTGGTCTGACACTGGGACATTGTTTCTGCCGGACTACCTCTCTCGAGTGCCGGCGCAGTTTTTCAGCATGGGTCTTGGAATTGTGTCTTGACTGACAAGTTAGGTATCGGTCCTCATGGCCAATGGTCTTCCTTGGTTTTTCCCAGGGGGCCACGTGTTTCCTGGCATCTACTGGTAACCATGTCAAAGTTCAAGTTAGCACCGATGTTGCCACAGGATGCGTCAGATATGTCAATTACCTGCAACCGTGTATTTTCTGAAGTCTACTCTTACCATGGAAATTATTTTTCGTACTGGCGTCTTTAAATCAGTTAAAACTATAATGAATATACTGTAATTATAACAGTTTTATCCCAGTGTGAACATACGACCCATCCCGTTAAAACATGATGTGCTTTACGTGTGCATTCCAGTATGCAGTAGAATTGCCCTTGGAATCAGGTGGTGCTTAGTTGATACATACATGTATAACCTTCATTTAGGTTTTAATAAGTTCTTTGAATAAGTTTTAGGTTTGACACACACGTGTTTGTTGCTTTCCGCACTCCAGCTATATGGCGATGTGGCATATATAATCGAATCTGGACCAGCCAATCCAGTGACTGACAACGTGAACATCGGTGTACACAACTGGGATATGATGACATACATGTGAGGTGAGGTGAGGTGAAGTGAGGTGAGGTGAAATTGGGTTTAACGTCGTACTTGAGAATAAATTTCGCTCAAATGACGACGTGCATGCGTGTGTATGTGTATGTGCGGCTGCTTGTACTAGTCCAGACTGAAGCTGGTATTTTTATAGTGCTAGCCCACTGAGATACCATGCCGCAGTGAAGCATGAATACCCCACTCAGACACATTATACTGACTCCGAGCCGACCAGTCCTTGTTGTACCCATTAATGCCGAGCGCCAGGCAGGGACAAACAAGTACCATATTTTAACGTCTTTTGGTATGACGCGGTCGGGGATCGAACCCGCGACCTTCCGCTCCCCGGGCGGACGCTCTTACTGACATACATGTGTCAACCAAGTCAGCAAGCCTGACCATCCGATTTCTTTTCCGACAAGCATGGGTTCCTGAAGACCAACTCACACCCGAATCTTCATGGACCCCGACATGTATTTCCCGACACAGAATGTAATGGTGTCAGGAAATACATGGCCTTATAATTAAATTTATTTAACAGCACTTTACGGAGACGGCGTTTAAAGAAATGCTTCTGTTTTTGCAACGTCTTTTCTCTTCAGCTGGGTCAACCTCAGTGATTTCGGAGTTTGCTCATCATGTAAAATCAGTATTCCATTCCACACATCGATGGCATCAAGTAATATTACCATCCCGGTAATAAAGGCATTGTCAAAAACTGCGTGAAAACAACACACCCACTTCTTCTTACCTATTGCACACCAGGCCGATAAAGGGAAAACTACATTAATCCAGAAACATGGTCATGTGAGCGATCAAGTGGAATGGCTATACCATCCAGGTTAGTTAGGTCTAAGCGCTTTCCAAACATGTTTAAGATATTTTACAAGTACTAAGAGCGGACTGTATCTCAGGTGTGAGCCTTACACCCTACGAGTGTTGTGTCGACGGAATGGTCTGGGATTCGAACCCATTTCCAAAGGATTCAGGGATGGCGGCGTCGCCCAGTCATTCATTTTGAGCAAATTTGAAAACTGCGCATGGTAATGAAATATGGCATATAGTATTGTAAACCTTTTGACGGTTAAGCTTTTACTTACTGTTCAGAACATAATATGTCTTTGTGAAATTGACGGACGAGCCATTCATTAAAAAAAAGAATCACCAATTTTAAACATGTCAGAAATTACACTGAAATTTTCGCAATGTAAATGATCGCTGAAATTAGCATATCTTATTCTCTCACTCATTACAATCAGCTGTAAAACTGTGACTTTAGTCGCACAGCAACAGTGGTACTTATGTCCGCTCACATTGCACTATGTGGTACTGGTGTCTGCTCACAGAAATAAATACAGGGTCGCACGAATATTCTTACAATATCTATTAAATTATCTTCATGCTGTTGTCTACACCTTCATGCATTTGCCTTGACCATTCAAAGATAAACCAATGTCAAAATGACCGTGCGGTTGCAGTGTGTCATGGTTTACTGCCCGGCTGACTGAACTACCAAGTCCGTGTGGTTGCAGACTGAGCCACCAAGACCCTGCAGACTGGACGACCAAGTCCGTGTGGTTGCAGACTGAGCCACCAAGACCCTGCAGACTGGACGACCGAGTCCGTGTGGTTGCAGACTGAGCCACCAAGACCCTGCAGACTGGACGACCGAGTCCGTGTGGTTGCAGACTGAGCCACCAAGACCCTGCAGACTGGACGACCGAGTCCGTGTGGTTGCAGACTGAGCCACCAAGACCCTGCAGACTGGACGACCGAGTCCGTGTGGTTGCAGACTGAGCCACCAAGACCCTGCAGACTGGACGACCGAGTCCGTGTGGTTGCAGACTGAACCATCGAGTCCGTGTTGTTGCAGACTGAACCTCCAAATCCGTGTGGTAGCAGCGTGACATGATTAGTCAGTCATGGTGAGTTAAAGCGGTAACCGCCAACAGAAACATAAACATGGACAAAGGCGCCATCATATCGTTTGGTCAACACGTATGCAATGTTTCATGGAGATATGTGAACAGTTCTTGATCCAGCCACCAAAACGACAGACCAAAGACAATCGTTTGTATGTCCCCATTGGACATTGATGTGGCGGGTTAGATAAGTCTCAATATAAATCTTGGTTTGCATAAACAATTTATACATACATGTTATACACTAGTTCGTGCGTAGGATTCAATCAACAACAATAGCAGATAAATAAGTTCCTCGATATATTATACAGTCCTTAACGTTATCGTTATGATATTTTCAGCCGATAACATCTTTCCTCATATGATGAAAACATGAACATGTAAGGTGCTGGAGGCGCAGTTTGGAACATTGTCAAGGAATGCCACCTCAACACAATATGTTTATGACATGGCTGACTGTTCATTGCAACTTTCAGAGTGCTATTTTCCAACATGTGAGTTCATATGAAATTTGAGTTCATAGGTTTGTGAGAATCCTTTTCCGCAAACAGAGCATATACAAGACTGGTCTTTCGCATGGGTCCGCCTCACGTGGCTGTCGTGGGCTGCATGAGAGGCGAACGCTTTCCCGCAGTGTTTACACTGAAACGATAAAAATAGGTAAGTTACCACAAAGAGAAAATGATGTCATGATGTCACATTGAACTGGAGAATTTTGATTTAAGTATATCCCTGAATGATTCTCAAAATTCTTTTCTTCCTCCCTCTTATATTGTTGTCCGACCTTTCAGATAATTTACGTGACCGACACAGATGACCTGTGTAAATAATATACATGTAAATCATTTTAATCACTGAAATGCATTTTCACCACTCATGTAATTGCACTTCGCTATTAGACATGGAAACATATTACTAACAAACTCCTGTCGCAACAACTACCTTGAATTCTCCATAACATAACTTACTTCGCGATATGTGTTTACTAATCAGGGATGTAATTAAAACATCTTGATATTGAGTAATTGTAAAACGATAACTAGACACCTTAGTGGCAGGCATATTTCTACAAACCTTTGATATAATTCAGACATAACTCACCTTGAACGGTTTCTCGCCAGAATGCTGTCTGATGTGCGTCCTAAGTATACTCGAGGCTGTGAAAGCTTTGTTGCAATATACACACTTGTATGGACGCTCGCCGCTATGTACCTAAGGGTAGATAAATACTGCCAGATAAGATGGTATGTGATTTAGCGATTTTGCGGCGCAGTCAGCAATATTCCAGCTATATCCGAGCGATCAGCGCCACTCAAATACTCCGGCTATTCAGTCTAACTGAGCCTGGATCAGATAATCCAATGATTACATTAATCAACACGAATGGGAAACAGTGACAGGCAGCGAGTCTCGTTACTTGATCCCGTTAGTCGCCTCTCACGAGATCCATTGGTAGCTGAAGTCAATGCTAATGCTAATCATCATGATTTGAACGCGACGCTTGACATGTGTAACTTGAACCCGACCGTTCTGCCGTCAACAGCTGATTCGGACCAGTGCAGTATCAACTGAACAGAGACAGATCCACCTGGTGGTTAGTGATGAATAATGCTTCAGTGTATCTCCACCCTTCACCCAAACTATCTAGTTAATGATAACAATAATGTGGTTGAATATCTTATAAATTATATATAATACAGATCATCAATATACCCGAAGTTAAACGTCCAGGCCGAAATGACTTGTTTGATTTTGCCAACTCAAGCAAACATTCCGATTCTTATGAATAAAGAAAACACAGTCTGGTTGGGCAACATGGTTGGTGCTGTTGTCTGTATGTCTTACCCTTCATTTTGCATAGGTGTTCTCTGTAAGGACATCAAAGATATCATTTTGTTTCTCAATTAATTTCACATGTCACTTGCTTTCATTTTGACAAATTGTCCAGAATTTCAGAAAACACAACAGAGTTGGGCAGGCCCTTGGTGTTTATCACGTGTATGGTGCTGAGAAACCACGAAACATAATTGGGGTTCGAACCCATGGCGGTTTAATTCTGACGTGCCAGAAGGACGCAATTCTGTCCAGCAGCGAATTAGACAACTGGGGATATCAGCATCGTGTCAGCATTCACGCTGAGTATTTTGTATTAGATACAAACGGACACTGCAGAAAGGATGTCAGCCATGATTAAATATAAGAATGTTTAGAAATCATGTTGCCGTTATTTAGCAAGAATCTATGTCGTTCAGGGTAAACAGTCATACAGATATGTATTAAATCAAGGTGTCGAAAAGGGTCAAGTTATCTCTGCTTCTGCGATTGCCTATTTTATCGGCAGTCTTATCACAGCCGGTAGATGTACGCCTCAAAGTACAAGTAATAGACACAATAACGCTATACAGGTGATTATATTCATCATTATAATGTGTGCTTTCAACATCAGCTGATTTCTCTCGGCTGTAACTTCATGTACACTACCATCAAATATTGTATCACGCTTAAAGGCACTATTTCACACCACACTTCTCTAAAAGTATATGATTTATTCCCAAACAAAACTACGTATTTAGATTACAAAATTGAATGAATTAATGCAACTTTGCATTTAATCGACTCTCTGCCGACCGAACATTATTTAAAGCGAACTCAATCGAGTTATGTCTCTTGGAGCGCTCTTTACGAATATCCTATAACTCCTTTGGAGACAGAACTCAGTCCTAGACACATGGCGCTAATGTCTGGCGTAAAAAACATACGCTCAACTTGTGATTTGCGTGCGACAGTTTTCGATGTACGAAACAATTGTTTACATTCCACATATGGCGTTCTCTGTTTAGAAGTTGTTTGCCTCGAGTTTAGGCAGGTCGTAAGTCATAATAAGTCATTTATTGCATCAATAGGAAGCTAAAATGAGTGCATATGTCCCAATATATATAATATAGGCCACATATTGTCGAAAATGTGTGAAATTGTGCCTTTAATTTCCTTCGCTGTTGTGGAAGTGATTTTCAGATAAGTCTCGTCCACATACCGTCAGTAGATAAGTCAGGTCGTAGCAGGCTTGGAGTCGCCCCCGACCCGCTGTTGTGTTACAGGTTCAGTTAGCCTTCTACAAACTGCCACATCACAATATTGCTAAATGACGTAGTCTCGGAAAGTGGCAACTGAGGGAGCAAACTCTAAAATATTACTCCGGTCGCCTCAGACCAATACCAAAGTCCTACATTTTACGAGCGCCTCATCTTTCACTGTTTTACTGTTTCCAAATCTTCCAACCACACATTGACGCTTTTATAGAAGAAAGATGATTAAGTTTTGCCATTAATGTACGAAAACTTGTTTTCTTCTTAAAATATTACCTTCACCCATGAATCATGAATACTCCAGGGGCAAAGTAAAGCACCGCCTTGTCTTTAATTTCGTATATCTCTGTCTACCATATTTGGTTTGGACATATCTTCAGATGACTGGTTTCTGTAGGTAAAATGTGGTAGCAGAGGGGCACATGGGACTAAATCCTTTACATAATTTGAATGTAGATTTGAATTTTGAAAAACAAAATTTGCGTTTTCTTCTTCGTTGAATACTACAAATACTGGTAATAGTTTATTAATATGTGAATCTATGCATGACCACACATCCAACTTGTTGTGATCTCAACATATGGCAAATATCATAGTGCCCCCTGCATGTGAATGAATAAAATAACCATTCAAATGATTTTATTACATCCAGATCACACAGGCTTAATATTTCAGAATCGCTGCTACTATGACAAGCATATCGCTGACATTGCCAAAAAGCATAATACAGACTTAGCAAGCAAAATATGACCAGGATTAAACCAACAAGTAAAGCCTTTTACAAGGCAACGTTGGAGGCACCTGAGTAAATTTAGAAAATTGGTGAGAAGGACGTGATTTGATTTGGTGAGTGAAGCTGATTTCAAGAGCATCCCGATGACCATACCTCCGTCTATTAGAGACTTGCTTCTATTAGGGGTCTGTACTGGCATCGCAAATACGGTATATGGCATTTCAGTTCTTCGGTATATGACATTTCATATCAAAGGTCTGTGTCATGTCTAACCATGTCCGGAAGTGAGGTACTAGTGACGGACGGAGGAAGCATGGCCCTATATATATAAATAAATACTTTTATTACTCACCCATTGAAGATATCACTGTTTAATAACTTTACAATGTTATTACTGAAAAATTCAGCCTGATTAAATGGTTTGAAGGCGCAATAATGCAAGTAGTGTACGACTGTTATGCCACTAGGCACAAAGTGTCGTTTGATTTTGCTATCTAGTTGGTACAGGTTGTTTTGAAACAGTCTGTGGCCCCACACGACACACTAATCCGTGAAACATCGTCCATGTCCTTTTGATGTTGACGACTGTCCTTAGTGCCCGTGTTTGTGACAGAAATAAAGCAGATAGCTCGTAAGATTTTATGCCTTAAAATGTAGAAAAATTCTTGTTATCCCTTGTTATAACAGGATGAGATTCACGAAAAATTACAACAGCGGAGTTCTAAGTATGTAAAACAGTGGCATTGCCTGTTAGGTTTATATCCGTCAGTTTTTATATGCTTTCAATTCTTAGTATGTACAGCGCGGTGAAACTGTTCAGACATATGACCCGAGTAACTACTTTCCCGTCCTCTTCCAAGATTCAAGAGGAGGTAAAACTGATGTGTAATGTACGAACAATTTACTTGAATGTGATAACACAGCTACACCGCTATGACATCAGGGGTAGGGCGGCCCTAAGCTACTGTCAGCTGATGAACAACGTGCAGTCCCTGATCGATACCATGGCGGGGGCTGGCATGTGTTAGGACTGCTGTCACTCTCCATTCTTTTGAGGGGAATTTGCACTCCCCTGATTTTCCAGAGGACAATAGTGTAACATTGTCTTCTTTATCAAAGCTCAACAATCATTCGCTAACAACAGGCAGATGGGCTTTTACAGGACAGCCTAAACACTTAAAAGCTCTTTAAAATCGAAGTCTCTATCACAGCAGAAATAGAGTTATTCTGAAATGTCCGTTCTCCATAAAATGTTTTATTTGAGAGCAGTTCTGAGCACCAGAGTTGTGCTGATGGGTCGATGTCAAACTACAAACTGTGCGGTGGATGCCTCTCGACTAGGGAACGGCCAGGTTGGCCCTTTTGTTCTTTCCATCGAACGTTCTCAGCCCAATCGAACCCCAGATCTAGGAGACGCTTCGACACTCACGCTCTGTATTGGGGAATTCTGCCAGAGCTATGCTCTAACGAGTAGAACGTAGTATATTATTTGAGTTAACATTGGTGGTGGGGCTATAACACCGGGTGGTTGGAGAGGGAGGACCCAGTGATCAGTGACATCAACAGTTTTCGATCTATTCATAGCAATGGAGTTCCAGAACTACCAATTTAAAGATAAATGTAAATTTGTTATCACTTGAGTCATGTCTATGTTTCAGGACAATACTACTCCTGTATGTGAGTACAATGAGTCTATGTGTACCGTTATGCTTCAAGGTGACACACAGATTTTACGGATCTTTACGGGTGAGTTTTTTACGTGCCATTTAAGTAAGAGATGCTTGGCAGGGGTGTACCATTGATAATAATCGTTAAGTACTAACCCGCATGTGTTTGTTGAGACTGGACGACTGGCTGAAACTCTTGCCGCACACAATGCACTTATGAGGCCGATGTTTTTCGTGAACGTGGAGGATGTGGATTCTGAGTCTGTCGCGTTTCTCAAAAGATCTGGAAACATGCAAATATGACCGCTTGTACAATATGGTGATCCACAAGTAATTAATCTCCGAGATAAACATGGAAATTGTAAGTTCATCGTTATCTGAAAGAGTGAGTGAGTTTGGGTTTACACCGCTTTTGGCAATATTCCAGCAATATGATGGTGGTGAGACACCAGAAATGGACTTCACACATTGTTCCCATGTGATGAATCGAACCATTGGCTTTGGCTTGACAAGCAAACGCTTTAACCACAAGGCTACCCACCGCCCGTTAATCTGAATGAATTAAACTGATCATACAATAAGGAACCAAATGTGAACTACTGTTTGGAAGTATCTTACCTGCTACAGAGGTGGCACGGGTACTTTCTGTCTCCCTGGTCCACACATCGGGTGTACTTTAAGTGTTTGTCTCGGTAGTACTTGTAGGCAAACACCTTGCCACACCGCTCACACTGGTACCCCTCACTGGCTGTGCAGTAACACATGTTCACTTTATCATATTATATAATATGTACAACATGTACTATGTCATAATGTGGGTATTTATTACTTAAACACGGTTGGAGTCGGCCAGAATCATACCACGAAAGAAATATGAAGTATGATACACAGTCAGTGAGTGACTTTAGTTTTACGCCGCACCCAGCAATATTCCAGCTATATGGCGGCGGTCTGTAAATAATCGAGTCTGGACCAGACAATCCAGTGATCAACAGCATGGGAATCGATCTGCGCAGTTGGGAACCGATGGCATGTGTCAACCAAGCCAGCGAGCCTGACCACCCGATCCCGTTAGTCGCCTCTTACCACAAGCATGGGTTACTGAAGGTTCATTCTAACCCGGACCTTCACGGGTCATACACAGTTAGATGGAGCTGGCGATACTGTACAGAACCGTGATAAAGGAGAATGCTAATGCAAGAAAGATGTTTACATAGGGTAAAGGCATTCTAAAAGTCACCTTCGACGATTATAATTGAACAAAAAGTTTGTAAAATAGCCTTAAAACACGTAATAAAAGCCCTCGCATTTCTGCCTGTTACGGTAACACCCGACAGTTAATAAGCAGAAGCGGGTATCACGTGACTTGACGTCATACGTGCCTAAGTGCCTGACGGTGACCATGGATTCAGAAAAGATGTTCCTGATGTCATTTTTGACATGGATGTTACAAAGTATCAATACGAGCCAATCTTGCAAGAGAAACTTCCAGTTAAGATGGAAAAGAAACAATCAAGCAAAACGTAGGCACCACTTGATGTCAAAATAATTCTAAAAATAGACGATGTAATTTATCAGCACAATGACATAGTTCCAGGCTGCACACACACCCCTATAAGAAATTATGTAAAAAAAAATGTGATTGCAGTTCCTTCTGTGTTAAACTGGTGACTGCAGGGAGACTGGAATTATTTTTAAAAAAAACCCGAACAAACAAAAACAATTGCATAAAATATAAGTAATTTGAAAAGTTATGAAAACAATCCTAAATAAACATGTAGCAAAATACGTATCGCGCGTGGCACGTGCACTTTGTGCACAATGAACTTGCTCACTTTTTGCATGTTGCCACTTGAAAGCTTACATGCAACGCAAAACACAACTACGCAGATTCTGATACCTTACAGTAACAAATTATAAGAAATGCAAATTCAACTTATAAAGTTGAAAAATAACGCGATGAAAAAAATCCCGCGAAATCGGAGTTCAAACGATTTATTAAAATAACCCCAGCTGGGGTGAAAAGTGGTTTCAGTAGCTGTGCTGCACTGCGCATAAAGCGCATGCGCAGTGAATAGGTTCGCGCATCTTGAACCGGGATGATTATTTCCACACACAAAGAGCCCTGAGAGTGTCGACAAATCAGCCAGCCAATGAAAGACTTCGTTACACTTAAGTGCATGCCCGCCCACTCTGACTAGGTTCGGTATCCCGGGTGCTTCGTTTCGAGGGTAGTAAACCCAAGTACAAAATATTGCGATTGCACGTTTATAATTTTGTTTATTTGTTTTTTCAGAATCAGCAATGTATATTATATGTCATGAATAAATGATAATTGTGTTTTAATTATGTTTATTTTGTTGGTTGCATCTTAGCTTGAAGTTCACACACCTGATAGTGAAAATTGAAGAACGGTTGATTATTCTCTTGCCTCTGAATGTTGTGGAAAACACGTTAATTTCAACATAAACTGCGCGTACGTCATAACAGAATCACAGAATACCGTGGGTATGCTGGAGACTGGAATGGCCCAAAATGAAGTGGCCAGACATTTTGGTGTCAATAGAAACACGATCTCATCTCTATTTCGTTTTCTAGACGTTTTCCCCACATGGGCATAATGTGTTAAGCCCATTTCTGGTGTCCCCCGCCGTGATGTTGCTGGAATATTGCTAAAAGCGGCGTAAAACCAAACTCAGTCAGTCAGTCAGTCTAGACGTTTTCAACATAATGGGAACACGAGAGATTTGCCTCGGACCGGCCATCCACGTGTGAGATCACCTCAGCAAGACAACCACATTCGGCTGACCCATCTAAGAAATCGATTCCAGAATGCCAGTTTGACTGCGCGGACCATTCCTGGCTTATGTTCCAGGACTGTACGGAACCTACTGAGAGACCACAACATCCGGCCCCGACGGCCTGCAATACGGCCAATTTTTCCGATCTTGCTCCAAGGTCAACGTCAGGCACGTCTTGCCTAGTGCAGACAGCATCTACGGTACAGGAGACAAGATTGGGATGTTGTTTTGTTCACAAGGGCGTACATGGCGAGGTGAACGGTATGCTGACGCGTGCGTTGGTCAGCGTCGACAGTTGGGTGGCGACAGCGTTCTGGAATGGGGAATGGCACATCACATCTCATGGTAGGACACAACTTGTCATTGTCAATGGCAGACTAACAGGTCTGCGATAGAGGGATGAGGTCATTGAGCCTCATGTGCAGTCGTTCATTCAAGGATAGAGACTTCATGCTTCTGCAAGATAATGCCTGTGTCCACATGTCGCTCGTGTTGGGACAGATGCCTGAGACAGCAAAACATTCCGGTTCTCCCCTGGCCAGATGTTTCTTCGGACCTGTCCCCGATCGAGCACGCTTGGCATGAAATCAGCTATTGACGTCAGCTGAATTGGGACAAGCGTTGGTTCAGACATAGTAAAAACATTCCCCAAGCTTTCTTAGTCGCTTAGTGTCGTCTGTGCGTCGTCGTTGCATCCAGCATCAACGCCAATGGTGGACACACACGATACTGAATTTGTGAACTGAGTTTTGACACCACATCTCCTCAAGGGCGTGTCACGATGCCTAGAGTCAAAGCATACATATTTCGATATTGTCCTGTCAACAGTTAAACAGTGATTAAGGAAAACACCACAAATCATGTTATAATTTTTCTTCATTAAGAAAATGGCAAAACATCAAATATAGCACAGTTACTTAGCACTTAGTTTTTCAGCGACGCAGATAATTTATTTCCCGAAAATTGGTGAATTATCGAATACTAGTCAGGACAATGTATATTTCCCCAGTTTTAGCTTTTGGAAATAGTTATGGTGCTTGGTCATAACCTTAGAATGGCATCAGGGCAGCCAATGAGAATAAAGAACAACTTTTACAGCACACAATACTGACAAATAGCGAGTCTGATGCCGACGCGCGTAATTCATTAAATGGAAAACATTGAAAAAAACTGCATTTCATTATTTGCTGTTGTATTTATAGATAATATTTATGGTAGACTGCAGTATTTGGGGCTCCAAACCGGAACGAACGTTATAGCCAAACATTTTCAAGCTCATGGGAAATCACTTACTGATTTTGATAATATATATTTCATCACAATCTGACCTGATTTAGTCATGAAATGAACATGAATTATTTTTGTACCACATCAACGGTCTATGATAACGGTTATGTCGATCGAAAACTGCCGCCCAAACTATTTACATCGTCTGTGGTGCCTACTTCTATTATTCGAAGACGCGATGCATGCAATCCTAGGCAACACAATACACCTTCTGACTGATCATAAAAATGACAGGAAAAAAGCGGTTTACATTACTGTAGTGCTTGGTCTTACATATTGTGGCCGACCTAAGTCACATATGACGTCACGAGTGTAAAAAGGTCACGTGAGTATGCATAATGGCCGAAGCTGAGATAGCAGAAACGGTTTTCGCGATTAAAATATAAATATTAATATTTTTGAATTAACATTGCGGCACATGTTTCTGATGACTATCTTTAACCCAGTCGGTTATTGCAATTTTCCTTTAACAGAACAAAATCAATCGATTTCCTAACGGATTCGATGTTTGTAAACATATATCATCTCGGAATACAATACAGATGAGCAAATACAATTATTATGTATTGTAGCTTTCATGACGTTTTCTTGAACGTTTGCAACATTGGATAAAACACAGTAACAGTAATAAGAAACCATAGTCTGAGTAAAGAATATCCAAATACTCCAAACATTACGTTAACTTTCATGATGAAACGTGCAGATCATAGATGAGAAATGTTAAAAAGTGACAAATTCAACATGGCTGTCATGTTTTTATTTGTTTATAACAAATGAATGTATGTGTGCAGCTGTAAGAAACCTTCACTGAGATGTGTTTGTCAGTTTCCAAATCCAGAGGTTTAGAGAAGATGCCGAAATTCACGAAATGACGCTGGACTTCTTATCCTTTAGATTGGTGCATATACTATTCCGTATTAACAACACACACACACACACATATACTCATGCCAATAATAGTTGTCACCCCCTTCAATTTTTTTAATTGGAGAGGGGATGTGGGTTGGGGTGTGAGATGTGTGGGGTTGGGGTGGGGCGGGGGTGGCAACCATTATTGGCATGAGTATATATATATATGCTTTGTGAAAACAATACTCTTTATGACTTTATTGCGGGACCGTTCATAATTTATAGCTAGGGTGGATGATGATAATTTGGGGGTGGGGGTGGGGGTTTCACTATGGCAAAGAATTATAACTAACTCCTGGGATAGCTTTCTCTGATATTTTATCGTTGATCATTTCTGGAAGAAGCTACACTTCAGGCTGGTTATATTTTAACTTGTTGCCATTAGGTCGATCATCGTGTAAGCGTGGTTTGTCCCACGTGACGAGGTAAACAATTGCGAAACAATCCAGCGATTGCTTGACGAGCCGATAACGTAGACGCCGACGTGTATATGTCCCAAGTTGATCTGTAAACATCCACAACTTTCAAAATATGTTTTGGCAGAAGACCTACATATCCGCGACACAATGTATTAGCTCCATCATAGTAGTGTCTATCTGTTCAATATGAGGAAAGACTCAAGTGATATCTTATGTGATAGCATTTTCTTTTGGATAACAAATTCTATCAACATTTAACCTGCCAGACACGCTGAAGCTGCAAGCATACGGCATAGTTGGAAACATAAAGTGTCTACCACATACTGCGAAAATAACCTGGACATCTGACCATTACACATGGCGGGTATTTCAGTAGAAAGTGTTTCAGTGTATCACCAAGCTTGGAAAAAATGTTTACTGCCAGTCTATCAAACACTTCCATTGCACGAAAATAAATCCACCCCATCGCACAACCACTGTGTGTGATCAGAGTTTGCAGAACATAGGGCATTTAGCAATACGTTAATTGTAGAATTGTGTTGACATTTGACACATGGCAATTGCTAGTTGTGGTAGATGTGGTATACAGAGTGAGGACAGGAACATGTCTAGTTGCCAGATGACCCGACCTACAAAGTGTCCAGCTCATAGTTCTGGGGAATTCTGAAGGGAACTGTCAACACGGAATTCATTAGTGAATGGCCTTTAATATGTCCTTGACAAAATCAGGATAATCAAAATATTTTACGAGTTTATTTAGCTATTTCAGGGTTGTCTTCGTTGACTTAAAGATATGTTCATTTTACTGACAAATTAAAATAAGTATACCTATAGTCTGTTTGCAGTGAAAACGTACCGATGAATTTCATTTTGAACAAAATAGTAAATCAAGGTGAGGTGAGGTGAGGTGAAATTGGGTTTTACGTCGTACTTGAGAATATTTCGCTAATATGACGACGTGCATGCGTGTGTATGTGTATGTGCGGCTGCTTGTACTAGCCCAGACTTAAGCTGGTTTTATGGTGCTAGCCCACTGAGATACCATGCCGCAGTGAAGCATGAATACCCCACTCAGACACATTATACTGACTCCGAGCCGACCAGTCCTTGTTGTACCCATTAATGCCGAGCGTCAGGCAGGGACCAACAAGTACCATATTTTAACGTCTTTTGGTATGACTCGGTCGGGGATCGAACCCGCGACCTTCCGCTCCCCGGCGGACGCTCTAACCACTACACCACGGAGGCGGTCAAATAGTCAATCAAATAAAGTGAAATTAAGACAGCGAATCCTCATAATTTTACCTTGCCAATGGAACAAAATATCTCAGACTTTTATGCAACTTAGGATAAAAGTTGTTTAACAAACGATCATAGTTTCAAATCACTATTATTGGTTTGTATTACAATGGGGTACGCGCAGTAGTTGGAACAATGAAACAAATGCACGTGCGGTACGTGATGAGCGTTAACTTAGACTACCGTAGAAACCAACCCTTCTTGTTCTCGGGATTTCATTTAATGTGCATACCCCCTTGTTGTAATACAAACAAATAATAGCGATTTGAAACTATGATCGCCTCGTATTATAGAGTTGCGACCCTTTGGCACACCAGGCACTTAAGATTGTTGGTTCGAAACCCGGTTCCCCCTGACGACGTTTCCAGGTTTTGCACGTCCTACCCATGCCCGTGGGTGCTCGACGTCTGAGGCATGTATCACTTCGGGTTTCCCTCCCACAACAGGCTGGCACACCGTCATATAATGGGAATGCATTTCGAAGCATCGAACGAAGTTGCACAATTGATGGGGAGAAGTTATGCCACTCACCATCTGCCTCTTCCTGGGCTCCACCGTCTGCCATTTCTTTCAGGGCGACTGGAACCCCCATGAACTGGAGGTAACAGTCCCCATACCACACTAACAGCTCCGTACCCTGGGGGACGTCCTTACATGCTTCGTACCAGATGTCTCCATCAACCTGCACAGCTAGAAGGTTTTGCTCCTGGGCATATCTTGCACAGTTCACATACGTCATCCAGTTTCCTGCATTGCCTCGCCCGTCCACAAAGTGGCTTAGCTTGCCTTCCTGAAACACCTGTAGGACACATACTGTCATGATTACTCGTCGAAGTGACGCATGTGTCAGACAGAATGGTCTTCAAACACACATAAGATATCATGTATGTAACTTAAAACATTGTTCACAATAACATGTGAATGCTTATACCGTATATACAATCTGTTTTCGTTCCCTGACTTTAAGAGGGGCCCATGCTTGTGTTAACATTGCATATACTTATACAAAATGTTACAGAAGTGAGTAATGATCTTTGTATAACGCTGCAAACAGCAATATTCCAGTTTCACCGTGCCGTGGAAACTATATATGCGAAAATAAACATGTCGCTATGAGGTTTACAGTGACTCGGAAGAACGCCGTATCACTATCATGTTGCTGGGAAGGGTAGAAGCCAACAAGAACATATTATGTAAACAGCCTGAACGGCAGCACACTAGCCAGTTTGAACTGCTGGAACCAAAGAAGAATGTCTACTTTATGAAACTGAGTGGTGCGAAGAAGTATGAAATGTAGTATAACGTGATTGTCAGCAGGGTCACAAAAGGGTCGGCGCCCTAGACGATTCCTTACACTGGATTACTGGGTGAATCTCGTTCCTGATTTACCTGTATATGTCTCTGCACACAACAGTATTCTAGCAATGAGGGCGGCTGTATATAATTGATTGAACAAGTTATAAAAGTCGCTTGGAATAATACTTCAGTTATATAAAGGCACGTCGTCCAGATGTGGAAGGAAAGTCCAAAGTAATTCAGTTCCCTGACGTTTACTAGTTTTGTGAAAGCCCCGAGCACAGGTATGGAGCTGACATACCGGGGATGGATTCAAGCCTACGATCTTAGGATAATGATGGGCAGAGAGACGCAAGACCGCAAAGCACTTTGCTCCACCTCAGACGACTTGATCATCCGTGCTACCGTACTGTGACTTTGGTAGACACCGATCGACACGTGATCAATGAATATCGGTCTCAAGATTACGCTTATGCCTTGAGCAGGTTCGATGAAGATGTTGAAAGTCAACGAAATGACGACACACAACCAAAACTATATCATACCTGCTACAACTGTATGATCTCTGCTCATCACATGCATGCACAAGAAAATTTAAATAAATACGAAGTTCATGAAGTGTAAGGTTTCCACACCCGACACTGTAAACTATACACAGCAGAAACATAACTACAACATAAACATAACTACAACATAAACATATCTACAACATAAACATAACTACAACATAACTACAACATAAACATAACTACAACATGAACATAACTACAACATAAACATAACTACAACATAAACATAACTACAATTTCAAAATGAACGTTTTACAGGAGTATGTAGCGATTGATTCACCTAAATCATGATTCAGAAAAAAAACATTCAGAACATATGTATATTTCAAAGTGTGATGTTGACCCGAATAAGGATTTGTAAGAAGCCTGACATTAGTTGATATGACATACCTCCCACATGAGTGAGTTGTCGTCGTGAGTCTTGATCTCACTGGTGTTCACCACTCTACCCTTGAACGGGCCGAATCTCGTACCTTTGCAGATGACTGTCTTCGTGCAAAAAGATCCATAGTGTATTGTTCCTGCAAATGTGGTCTGATAAATAGCCACTCCTGTAAGAAAGGCAAATAATATATAATAATTACGTTTTGAAATAAATCGACATATCGATTAATATAAATTAAAACGTACTACATAAATGTGTTATCAGAGAAAATAACTGAAGTTAGGTTATACAGTTATTTATCTATTATTGATGTGTTGATGTGGCTGAAGATAAACAAGCTGGAGAACAACGATAATTATTATTTCTGTTTCATCATCAGAATCCGTTGTTTTCTCCAAATATTAATGACGCATAAACGTGTCATTATATCCATTAGCATCTGAAGACAGGTCCTTTCCGTTTGCAGTTGCCCCCAATGCTCAAGAACTATCCCCACAGAGTGTTAGTGCTGTCCACAAGGAGACACTTTCAAGTCACAGCGTTTGAGACAAGTGGGATTATTGCCATGTGGATTATCAAAACCACAAAGGAATTGCTTCAAGTTTTACAATCTCAGCCTGCACAGTTCGATTATGTTTTCAGCTTTGGGCATATCGATTTTGGTTTAAGATTTCATATTCTCCTAAATATTATTGACAGCAAGTTATCACATCTAAAACGCCCTCACCCATGCATTTCTACATATGCTTCTTTACAGATAATGGAAAAGTGGCAGATGGGAAAGAAGAGAAATAGGGATAATTTCTGGCTAATTTAAGAAATGGGCATTCATTGAAAAATGTATATGTATGTTTACAAATCACATCGGTTTTTGAATCCTCGTTTAAACCATTTCTGAATAAATAATATTTTAATTCAGTATCGTCATGTGTTAATTTCGTATGTATCATGTAAATAATGAAACCTATGACAATAGGAACAGTAGGTTTACCTGGCCTGGTTTCATTGGTCCTTTATTGACTGCCATTGTACATGGTACAAACAAGAAATCTAGTCTTTGTCATCATTTGCTTTCAAATGTTGAAAAAAATATGTTATTAAAAACAGAACTAGTATGTATAAGGTATACATTGTATAGATGTATATTAACCTTTCACAATAATACACTTTAAAAAAAAGATATTTTTTTATATGGGGCCCTCTTGACTAGGGGTTTGACGCCCTTTTGACTTTTTGATGCGGCCCTGTTCACTTTTCCGTTTTGGGGCCCTTTTGTCATGTGGCCCTTTTGACTTGGACCCCTTCATATAACCCAGATCAAAATCCACATTATACAAATTTGCCAAACCTACTATGCTATAAAATGTGTCAGTATTACTTGCAAAGAAGCTGACCAAATTGTTTACAATAATGAATTGTTCTCTTAGAACCAAATGTCGTTAAGTGTCATGTCGTCCTTGTTCCTAGTAATACTGCTGTTGTAAATACACGCTCTTGTACCACCGTTGGTGTTGTGTTGTTATTGTTTAGAATAAAGACCTTGAACCTTGACAAATTAGAAGTGAATCTTGATAAAACGAAAGTCTAATTTTTTGAAGCGGCCCTGCCAAGAAAAGAAAACTTAAATTTGTCTTTGAACAATTTCCAATTGAAATTGTTGATAACTATACATTTAGTAGGAATAGGAAATTTAATCAATCAATAAAAAATCTTGCAGCAAGTGCATCCAAAGCAATGTTTTGTCTTTTAAAAAAATCTAGAAATCCTAATATCCCGTTGGAGTGTTTACAAACCGAAACATGAGTCTCATTAACCAGACAATGACCTACTTCTCAGCCGATCCGAAGTTTCTGGTGTGAAAGTGTGTGACACCGTAAACAACTCTGGCTCCATTGAATTTCAATTCCTTGTTTGATAAGACAATGGTATTTACAAATTAATTTAGTTCTAAAGTAAAAAAAAAATCTTATTTCTATATTTCATGTCGAGGTTTAGGCAGCATGTCGTTAACTAAGATGTCACAGACTGCCCCTGTTTGAAGAGGTCGTACAGTGATTCACAATTCATCTGGCTCACTGGTTACACCTGTTATGTGTTCTTTGCACTTATAACATGTATTTTTGTAACGTACAATGTGACTGATATAATATCCAGTCCGGACCAGACCGCCAAACGTTTCTAGCGGCCGAGCCACGTTTTGAGATTTCCACGATTTCCAGATTTCCGTTAGTCAGAGCACGCTACATACGACAGAACCACGCTGCACGACATGTTTGCAAGGATTAGAAGGAGCGTATTGTTGCAATATACAAGTGCTTAGATGTATCAAATAATACTGATTAATATGTATATATCCAGTTGAATGAGTTGGTGTCACCATTCTGGACTGGTTATTGTACTAAGTTGCGTAATAGGACCGCCCCCAGTCAGCAGGAAAAGAGACTTCTGTGTAATCAATGTTTTGACTTGTTAAGGCATTTGATGTTATGATAGCCCCAATTCTTTTGTATGGCTGCGAAACTTGGGCATACGAAAATTTAAACAAAATTGAAAAAGCCCATTTGAAATTTCTAAAATTGGCCAGCGGTTTACGAAATTCTACCCCTACTTTTATGGTATATGGAGAACTCGGAAGATTCCCGTTATATGTCACCACGGCTAAGCGTATTATTTGTTACTGGCATAAACTTAATAATTCTGGAATGCAGCAGAAATTATCAAAACTGATTAACAATTATGCACATGTACAAAGTATCTTTGAGAATGATTTTGATCCCTGGACGCATCATGTTAAATCTTTATTAGATAAATGTGGCTTATCTTTTGTATTCTATAACCCTGTTAGCGTACCATGCCAATGGCTAGTTTCACAAGTGGAGATTGTATTAAAAGACCAATTCCACCACAGTTGGATATCTGATATTGAAAATAGCTCTAAGGTCTTTTACTATAAATATATTAAAGATACCCCGATACTTGAAAACTATCTTCTCTTCCCGGCTTATATTTACTCTCCTATTTTGAAATACAGAACCTGTAATCACAATCTCAAGGAAGAAACTGGTCGTTGGCATGGCATTGCTAGAGAAAACAGAACATGTAAACTTTGCCATTCACCAGCAATAGGAGATTTAAATGTGAAGCCCTTACAGATATTAGATTGAAATACTTACCAACTAGATATATGTACCTCCCCAATTTGTCAACATTGAAGAAGATATTTAGTAGTAGAAGTTAAAAAGAAATACGAAATCTATCCAAATATCTGCTAGTATTATATAAACGTATAGGGAAAAATGGTTAAATCTGTACTATATCAATTTGCTCATTCTTTAGACAACAAATCATTTAATAGCTCTTAATTTATGACATTATTATGTTTCATTTTGAACTGTTCTACCTGTCAGTTTGTCATGTTTGTTTATATGTATTTAAATGAATTCTGTTTGACTTTCTCTTGTACCACCAAATATGGTTATTTGAGAATAAACTGAACTGAACTGAACTGACTAAGTGGCCGCCGAGGACAACATAACACCCAGGTGATAATGTTTTCATTCTCCAGTAACATATCGCTGCGGCTCTTTTTTGTGGAGAAGAACTGACGTTAATCTTCTGGGATTAAAAGGAATTAGCTAGTCGTGAGCCCATTTGTTGATTTTGTTTCCGTTGCTATTCCCAGTGGTTTCTGTATGTAAGATGATGTACCCAGATATGTGTCGTCTCCACATCATCTTTTTGAAGAGTTCCAGTTCAGTTATGTCATTGATGTATACAGGGAACAGGAAGGCACAGCGGTGATAAGGCGATTGTGCTAGGATGTGAATCATGTTGCGTTTGTCGTTAGAACAGGGCGCATGCACGTGACTTACAATATCAAATGCGATACAGATTTATTAGAAAAACACCATGCATGGTTCAGCTCGTAGCTATGTACAGCGACAAGTCAATTGCAAACTCATTAACAAGGAGCGACCCAGAGGTATGGTTAACCGCAGCTTGTGAGGGGAGCACCTCAATCTGTCATTATGCAATATGCGCTAACACGTATATAGGACGTAGTATACAACGACGCAGGTATATGTATCTAAAACTACTCAGCACTTCAACTATAAATGAATGTCCCACGTTTTGGAGGCAATTGTGACTTACTAAACCTTCCAGCCGTGTCAAGTGTTACTTTCATTAACACGCAGATTAATTACAGGCTATCATTTCCAGCAATACAAATGTCTGAGGGTCAATTCAATGTATGTTAACTATCGCAAGGATGGTTTTCCTTACAGCATGTATGTGGCAAGCTTGTTGTTTGTGTAATGGTAAAACATGTACGTCATAAACGTCTGCAATAGAATAAAGACATCAATGTGAAATCTTCACAACATATAGTTAGGGGAATTTCGAAATTACTCTCTTCAAGTAATTATTTTCACAACATGTTGTTATTTAGTATACCTCACTGAACTTAACCGAGAATGAAGGCGTTAATAAATAATACCAAAGAATATTTGAATCACACATAAAATACTTAGCTATACCAGCATTAATTGCCAGACTGGTAACGTGAATGGACAGACAGACATATAGAAACTTTTTCTTAAGATAGATTTTAACATTAGCCAGAATGTAATGCAATAGGTAGTCATATACGATGGAGTAAATATCAATTTGTCTCGAACTCTTGAATGTTGTTAATCAACATCCTATAGTCATCATTTCCACAAGTGGTCCATAGATGGTCACGATTCAATCTTTATCAAAAGGAGGCACAAGGATAGGCCCAGGACCATAACCAGCATCTATAGCGGTATCAAGGATAGGCCCAGGACCATAACCAGCATCTATAGCGGTATCAAGGGTAGGTCCAGGGCCATAACCAGCATCTATAGCGGTATCAAGGGTAGGCCCAGAACCATAACCAGCATCTATAGCGGTATCAAGGGTAGATCCAGGGCCATAACCAGCATCTATAGCGGTATCAAGGGTAGATCCAGGGCCATAACCAGCATCTATAGCGGTATCAAGGGTAGATAGGCATCTATAGCAGGACCATAACCAGCATCTATAGCGGTATCAAGGATAGGCCCAGAACCATAACCAGCATCTATAGCGGTATCAAGGATAGGCCCAGGACCATAACCAGCATCTATAGCGGTATCAAGGATA